GGCTTATTTTACTGGTTTGGATAGAGCTTTTAGGTTCCTACTTTTGGTTCTGTTAAGCAAGAGGCAAATTTCTTGGTTGAAATTAATTGGCAGAAATTAATTGTTTTCCATTTTGCTTTAGCCAATGGCATCAATTTCCCATTTGTGTTGATCATTTAGGCATATGTACTGTTCTTCTTAATTTTTTAATGATGAATTTTTGGTATGCAAGTTTGATATCAAAGCATCCCCTGTGAATATATACATTAACTTTTTAGTAAGAACCCATGTAAATCAGCTACACGGTGCTTGATTATTATGCATCAAAGTTATTCAAATTAAAGAACACATTATTAAAAAGCATGACATTATAATTAGTAATCGTATACTCTTTATTTCAAATGCAGCATCTAATAGTTTTTAAATAGACAGTGTAGCATCTCCATTTATTGCAATACAGTGAAAGAACTTTTTCTTAATAAATGTTTTTTTTTGTTTTCAATTCATAGTGGAAATAACTTTAAAGTGGGAAAAGATCATCAATTTTTAACAATGAGAATGATATTTTTTTTTTTTTTAAAGGTTGGCTATATATCAAAACACTGTCAAAGATGTAGCATATGTGGCACTAATGCTCCAATTGGGCATCACCAGGTTGTTCAGAGCCCTATTTTAGAATCTAGAATGTCTTTATTTTTCGCTCTTTTGATTGTTGCTTAATTTTATTTCAAATTGCTTCTCTGCAAATGGTTGGTTTCAAGTCACAATTATGGGCCATTGAACTAATTTCCAGAAACAAATTGACCACATTGGCTTAACTAATTATATAGGTTTGGTTGATGTTTGGTTTTATCGAATTTGTTTTTTACAGAACATTTGGTATTGGTCTACACTGTCTCTGAAAGCAACCAGCAAGGGAAATCATAAAAAGTTTCTCTCTCTTCTATATCTGGCAGTGAGTACGTGCAAGAATATAAATGAAGGTCAAGCACTTGAGCTCCCTTTGTAATTGCAAAACGAATCCATTCGTCAAGGATAGTGGTGGATTCTCTGTTAAAAAAGAATTCCACTTTGAACGAGTCTACCTTGTTGCCATGGTGGAGCTGCAAAACTTTGTTCACGCATCTTACAAAGACTTGTTTTGAGAAGTCCTCAGCATACAAATCGTCTTCAAAATCATCATCTCGAACGTTGATTCCGAAAATGTTTGCAAGGTCAAATTCAAGATTGACCCTTGTTAGTATTGGCTGCAATCCAAGATGCCTCCACGGACGTGATACCATGGTGGTACCCACTACATCTTTTAGGGTCAAGAGTGAAAATATGGATACCAATATGCAATCTGGCAACTCATTAATCCAGTCCTTGCTCTCGCCCTCCTCATCCTAAAAACATAACAACAACACCCCACTAAATAACTAAACATATTACATTACCCTTCCTTGATCAATGTTCTTGACAAATTGAACTAAATAAAGGGAAAAATAACCATAAGGTTCAGGACAATTGTTTTTAAAAACAATTTAAAAATCCATAAGCATGCACACTTGTATTCATATGCATTTTTGCCCAGAAGTTTTTCCCATCAAGAAACTCTCTAACAATCCTTATTATATTAGGTTAAGTTATTTCAATCCATATAGAGTAGGGAAGTATCACAAGGCTTGTTTAACTTGTACTACATGTCTGCAAGGCTATCTGATTGGCTATTAGTTAATTTCCTGATTAATACAAGTCTCAAGAACCCTAGAGTAATTAGGATACCATACTTGACGTGTAAGACAAGAAATAGTCTTACAATCTCCCACTTGGTTGACTAATCACTACGAGAACTTGTAATCATCCCTTTAAGGCCTTGTGGAGCAACTAAACCAAAATTCCCTCCAAGCCACTGCTAATAATGAAGAATGATAAGGAACTATCAAGATTGATAGAATATCCAATACTTCAAGGTCTTTATAATTACACCAAAATCACATAAGGCTTCCATCAAGATTGAAACAACAGAATGACCATGACAAACTGAAAGTGTTATGCAGCTGTCATGTCATTCTTAAGCCCTTCCTTAAGAGATTGCCAAGATCTCTCCTTGATGATGACGCTGCCATGAATTCATGTCTTATGTAGCTAGTTATACTGCATGATGACATGCAATTAGATTCATTTGTCAAGAATAATAAACATAAAACTAAAGTTACATAATTTATTAAAAGAATTTAACCAAACAACAATAAACAAAATAATTCAACAATCTCCAAGAAAACAATGAAATTAGTGGAATAGAACAACTCCCACTGATTTTGCATATCAAAACTGAATGGCATAGCTATAATTGTAACAAGACTCCTAATAAAACTTTTGAGAATAACCTTATTCAGTGAATCAATGAACCAATGCTATTTTTCTTCTTTATTTTACCTTATCCTTTACAAATATGAAACAAAAGCCAAAAGCTTATTAGCAATTACAAATTCAATGAAAGGTAAAAGTCATTGATTAATCATTATCGACTTGAACAAAACAGCATGATGAATTAATAAGAACAGTTAACATACCCAAAACAATCTTTGTTCTTATTAAGCCTCAGCAAAACCGGATTGTTAGGTGATTAATCAGAAAAACTGAATACCTGCAACAAAGAAAATCATTGAATGCTCCCACTCATCAAGGATATGTATTTTGCAACTAAATCATGTCATAGAAGCAATTAGCATGAAACAGATTAAAGCATTGCAAAAGGAACACCCTACTCCAGCAAGACGCCGGATTGTTATGCCAACATCCCTCACTCTTTTGTCTGTAAAAAGGCACAAGCTCCCAAAATGAAAGGTAATTAATCCTGGACATTACTGTTACTCTGCTAAAATTACCGGTAATTTCCTACTTAGCTGACTTAAGCATCGAAAAGTCTTTGACCGGTACAATATCAGTGCCAAGATCTTAACAATTGCTTCTTCCTCTTCCTTTTTCAGATCATGCCCTATTGTTGAAGGTCTTACCCTTCAACCCTACCGAAGACACAACTACTTTACATCCTTTTAAGTTGTCTCCAAATTTGAACTACAACAAAAATAAAACATTATAAGAAGTGATTTCAAGATGTATACCTCTTAGGCCCAATTTGGGATTACTGTTTCTTTTTGAAAAAAGTTGCTTCTGCTGTGCTTTGAAAATAATTAGTTGTTTAGTAAAGCAACTTCATGTTTGGTAAACAATATTTTTAAAGTGCTGTTAGTACAAAAAACAGTGTAAAAAACGTTTGGTAAATTTTAATATAAAATTATTGTAACTGTGAATAATGACTAAAGTAGACATGATGTTAAAAGTGTTATGTACTAATCATGTGGTAGTAGTGGTAGTGATGGAGTGGAGGTGATGGCGGTGATGAAGGTGGAGTTGGTGGTAGTGGTAGTGGTGGTGGTGGTAGTGGCACCATGGTGGTGGAGGTGGCACCATGGTGGTGTTGGTGGTGGTGTTGGTTGTGGAGGTGGTGGTGGATGTGGAGGTTTTGGAGGAGGTGGTGGTTGTGGTGGTGGTGGTGGAGGTGAATGTGGAGGAGATAGTGGTGGAGGTGGTGGTGGCCGTGGCAGTGAAGGTGGCGGTGGTGGTGGCGGTGGTGGTGGCGGAAGTGAATGTGGTGGTGCAAGTGGTGGAGTTGGATGTGGAAGTGGAGGTGGTGTCATTTTTTAAAATGAATTATGGTATTTTGGGAATTAAAAAGATTCATTAAAGGTTCATCTCTGCTTCTTTTGAAAGTAGCTTTGAAAAGCAACCCAGAGCCTGCTTTAAAAGCTGCTGTCAAAAGGCCACTGCTTTTAAAATAATCGGGATATTTTATTTTTACCAAACACCTTAAACTGCTTAACTTTAAAGTGAAATATAGGTTTTCGGTCAAAAAAAGCAATCCCAAACGGGGTCTTACTCACCGATTGGATATTATGGTATAGCAGTGTAGAACTTGATTTGAAAACATATAACAAAAGGAGAAACTGAAGAAACATTGAGTCCGGACGCTAAAGAAAATCCAGAGGCTCGCACAATGCACTCATCAATTATGTTTCAGATACAAGAGTTTAAAGTCATATACTGTCTATAATTTTGTTTCGATCACTCTCCCAAAAGCTTTTTTTTTATTTATTTTGAATTTTCTTATGTATAAATTGGACTATCATACAAGAATCAATTCCATAAATATTTTTCTATAGCTAAAGACAAAAAAGAAATAATATACTAATTCTTTTTTTATTAATTCGATCCATATATTCTGGGTCCTGAGTAGTCCGGATCAAAACAAATAATATTCTGGTGGGGGAAAAAATAAATTCCCACATGATATAATTGGTTGACAATATGATTAGGATATGACATATCTAATCACAAAGCAAAAAAAATAAAAAATAAAAAAAAAAAGCATTGGTCTGGTTGGAAAACCTGAAAGCCACTTGGTTCCTAATTGCACGTGGAATTCATGTAGCTTTGTCGTAGTTTCTACTTTTCCTTTCATAAATTGGAAAAGG